CATCATTCAAGGCTGCTGGTGGGATGCAGTGGCAGAGCTTTCTAATAACAAATATACTTGTTCCTCTTCTGCTGCTGTTCACTTTCTAATATGTGACCACTCATCACATTGGGGATGAAGTCATATTTGGTTAAACTAAGCTGAGCACATTTTCAAATTTGTTGCTTTTAAAGCTATAAAGCTTGTCCACGTGTGCCGCAGAATGGCCACACTGACGGGAGCTCAGCTTCGACTCGCTCTTTTTAAAAATTATTTATTTATTAACCTTTATTTAACCAGGCAAATCCCACTGAGATCACAGAGCTCTTTTGCAAGGGAGGCCTGTGCCTGAAGGCAGCCTAACATGCATGCTTTTGGTCTGTGGGAGGAAACCGGAGTACCCGGAGAGAACCCATGCAAGCACGAGAAGAACATGCAAATTCCACACAGAAAGACCCCAGGTCCAAATGGGGATTGAACCCAGGACCTTCTTGCTGTGAGGCAACAGTGCTAACCGCTGAACCGTCGTGCTCCTGTTGTTTTTGTTTTAACATTTTTTTTCCGCCTACATTGCACACCTACGCTACGGGTATGACCGCAATGCACCTTTGGAGTTTTGTGTGTTGCTGCCTTGCCATCGTGCCATCGTGGTTCAGTTCCTGGCCCCCTTCTAGCCTCAGGACCGTCATGGCGGCTGTCTCCATCTTCCTGCATGGACCGAACTCTACGGAACAGTTTGGTTCCATGGGGAAACCTTGGATATTCTGTGTCTGCCGGACCAGGTTCTAGAGGGCAGTCTGGGAGGACAGCTGCTGCGGTTGTTATCATCATGCTGCTAACGGGACTGCGCTGCTAACTGGAGTTGCGAATTAGCTATAGCTATATACTCTTTGTGCAATGCATCAGTCACAGACTTGTTCTGCTCTATGCTTGTGTGCATCCCTGTCAAATAAACTAATAATAATAATAATAATAACAACAAGACCTGCTAACGCTGCTAGCAAGATCATGCTGCTAACAGTACCACGCTGCTAATGGTACCATGCTGCTAACGGTACCACGCTGCTAACAGTACCATGCTGCTAACAGTACCATGCTGCTAACAGTACCATGCTGCTAACGGTACCACGCTGCTAACAGTACCATGGTGCTAAGATAGCCTCACTGCCAACAGAACCACTCCGTTAATAGGACCATACTTCTGTTGATGCATTTCTTTTTCACTTTTGGTGCCTTATCTTTGTATTTTTATTGCATGCTTTGGTATTTGCTGTTGTTTTTTTGGCGAGTCGAGACAGTTCTTCTTGTTCTCAGCATTTCATTGCATTGTGGAACTTGTGTTAATCTGCAAATGACAAATACACCAAACCTAAATTTGTTGCTGTTAAAGCTATATTGTCATACATTGATCATACTGATATCATGAGTGATTCCAAATATATGATTTGATTTGTCTTGTAAAATGTTACACTTTTTTGCAACAGAGTTTTTTACAAAATAGACAAAATAACAAAATGTGAATTATGTGTGTTGATCGAGACAAATCGACCCATATTTCTGGAACCACTCATGATATCAGGATGATCTAGTAATTAAAATGTGCAATAGCTTAAAAAGCCAGGAATCAGGAAATATGCTTAGTTGATTTTGACCAAATATTACTTAATCCTTGATTTGATGTGATGATGTCACATATGTCCTGCTTTCTGCTAGGTACCATTATAGCCACATACGCTTTTGTAGTTCACCTTTTGTCATAATAATGTTTTTACTGACTGATGTACATTCACATTAAAGACATAAAATCAGCTACAAAAGAACAGGACACTTGCCAGGATTTCTTAGACAAATAAAAACATAAGTGAAAGAAATAATCTTGCATCAAAATGTCCTGGACTATTTGTGAAATTACAGATTTAAAAAATGTCTGATTTTTATTTTATTTTATTTCTCTTTTTTTTGTGTTGCTGAATTTTTCATTCAACCTTTATTTAGACAGGTAAATCCCATTGAGCCTCGATGACTCATTTACAAGAAATACCTGATTTCAACAAAGAATGATGACAACAATGGACAACAGCAACAACAATAAACAGTTATAAAAAGTCATACAATTTTTATTTTTTTTGCAAATTGGATGGCTTAAAAAAAGATAAGTAAAAAGAAAGAAAAGTAACAAAAAAACAGCAATATTCTAAGGCGAATGTAGAAAACTAAAAACAGGAACAGGTCTGCATTGGTCCCTGCCAGGAGTCCAACAGATTCTTAAAGCCACTTAGAGAGGTCAAGGTCAAGAGCCTCAGATCTTTTTGTAAGATATTCCAAGAAATAGGAGCGGAGTAGGAGAAGGCCCTTTTGCCTAGTTCAGTTCGCATTGAGGGAACACTGCAGGTAATAATGTCCTGAGAGCGCACGCTGTAGCTGCACTCACGCAGAGACATGTAGGAGGAGATGTATGAAGGCAGCAGACCAAGAAGTGATTTAAAAAAGAAAATGTACCAGTAAGAGAGTCTGCTTGAAGTTAATGATGTCCAGTTAACCAGTGAATACAGGGTGCAGTGGTGGGTACGATAATCACAACCAGTAATGAATCTTAGTGCACCATGATAGACAGCATCCAACATCTGCAGGGTTCTTGTAGGAGCGTTCATGTAAATAATGTCACCGTAATCAATGGAGGGAAGGAAAGTCACAGATACAAAGTGTTTCCTAGCATTCAGGGTTAGACAGGATCTGTTTCTGAAAAAGAAACCCAGTTTAACTTTCAGTTTTTTTTACCAAGTTTAATTATTACAAACATTGTTATTAGTTTATTATTACCAAGAATTATAACCCCTAAATAACCACAAACTCTGAATGTATGTATTAGTTTCCAGTTTCTTCAGAACAGATATAATCTTATGAAAATAATAGGTGTTTAATGTTCACAACTTTGGTTGAATGTTAGAAATCCAACTAAATAATTAAATAATGCCACACCTGAACATTCCAAGCCTCTCCCAGTATGTTACAAATCCCAGTGTGCTGACCTCATCCTTGTCTTTCCATGTCTGCTCTTCATGTCCTCTTCCATCACAACCCCCCCTCTTTTTTTCCTACTGTGCGCCGGGGCTATAATGTGTTCCTGTGGTTGTAGTAGCAGGCCATAGTGTCTCTGAGGCCTTGTGCTACACCGCCATTCCTATCTGGCCTGCATCCACTACAAATTGGATGAACAGGCACTGACACATTTTCAATATTATTACATTAAACCAAGTGGATTTTGATTGATAACCTAATATTGGCCTAATGCAAAACATCAATCATGGCAAGTATATTAATTATTTAATATTGTGGCGTAATTCAGAAATCGATGCTGCCTCTGCGTTGAAGACAAGGAGTGCAAAGAGGGAAGAGCGAGAGATGGGCGAAGAGGAAAAACTCGGTCCCCAAAGACCTCGACAGATTATATGATGTTTTGAAAAGGGAGACGAGGATGTAAAATGGTGTGTGTGTGCGTTAGCTTAGCGTGTCTAATGGATAAAGCGATCCCTTCGGCTCCTGTGCGGACAGCCCCGGACGACTTGCCCTTGATGAAGTCAGAACAACAGATGAAAGAGAGGGAGATTAAATGTATGTGAAAAGCTTAATAAAGGTTAAATTAGGTAAACAAAATGAGAGAGCGGGAAAAAGATAAGATTGTTAAAATGAGCATGAGGAATGAGATGAAAAGGGGAAAAAAAGAAAGTGAATGAGTAGAGGAGGAGGGATCGGGCGCTGCGTCTCCCCTGTGTTAGATTGTTTCTCACTAATTGCGCTTCATTAGCGGATTACACACACTGTCACCACGGTAACAAATGTCTTGCTGTCTGGTTGCTGGGCGCCCGTCATGTATAATGAATGTGGCGGAGTGTTTGTCAGAATGTAATGTAATTACAGCTAGATGAAGTTTGCCTTAAGTGGTTGACTTGTCTTCTTGTGGCTTACTAACAGAGCACAGAGTAAACAAGTAAACATCATTTCTTTGGCTTTCTTTTTTGACTTGTTTATATTTCCGTTTGCCCCTTCTTCATTGCAGTATTTAGAAAGGTTGAGGATGTGGCAGTGGCATATGTTTGTGGTTAAACTGGGTCCTGTAGGATACATGGATGGATGGATGGATGGATGGATAGAAAAACAGAGGGAGAAGGAGTTGGGGTAGATTAGACAGTATGTAATTTTAGAGATGGTGTAGATTTACACCATGACGCTGCCAGCTGCATTAGCAACTGAAGTCTGTCGATAAGCCTTCCTCCCTCTCAGCACAGACACACACACCACACGGTAAAATGCCACAGCTCAGGTGGAGTTGTCAGTAATGGAGGCCAGAGTTGGACGAGGGGGCGCTGGGATCCGAGACGGGGGCTGTTTGTGTTCTCTTGATCTTTTGATTTTCACTGCTGCAAATTTGAAATGTGCCAAAATTGCATCTATTATTTACTGCCAATTTGCTCTTTTTAAAACAGCCTGCTCCGCACTCATCCTCCACTTCCTCGGCTCGCCGCTCTGCTGTTGCTACCCTGATATCCACACACACGTTTTTTTTTCTTCTAAATTAATTCACAGATAATAAGCTCCCAGCTCTTTCTTTGTAGTTATAAATTATTGTTATGACTGCCAGCAGTGTAGCGACAATATTAGTTAACCTCTGTCTAGTTTAGATGCAAAATTGTAGAAATACACACATTTCAGCCTGAAAGTTAGCATTTAGATTCAATCCTATGTTTAGTTGTCCTTTTTATTACCAAAAGCCTCTTTGATATCATTTAAATAATTTTCCCTGATTAGTTCTCAAACTGTAAAAATCTAATTACGAGCTTTTAAAATGTAAATAATTTTGTTTGTGTTGTAGAATAAAAATACAAATAATCTTATGTGGTGTTTCATTTTATTGTCACATTATTGAGATATTAATTGAAAAAAGTACACCTTAATATTGTTTGTTCTGCTTTTATTAAACAAGATTTTTGTACTGACTCTTTATTTGTGGTGTCGTGTTTCAGGGATGCTGAGAATATTAACATCGGATTAGAACATCTGGTAAGTTCTATTCAGCACACACACACAAACGCACACTAATGTCTACATGCTGCTGGAGCTGAAGAGTTGCATCTAACACTCGAGGAGAAATGAAGAAAAAACAGCGATAGATTGAGGATGCTTGCCTTCCCAAGGGCCGGGTCCTGCTCACATATTAGCATTTCAATAATTTTCAATGCTGCACTAAACACACACCCTCATTTTTACTAATAGTTGGTGTTATTTGCATATTTTTGCGTGCATGCATACCTGTTTGTGCGTTCTTACATAAAAGCAAAGTGTTTATTGTTTATCTAGAAACAGACATCCTGTGTCCTTCTTTGTACTGCTGCTCCCGTCTGCGTGGGCCCTTTTCTCAGTCCTGTCCATGAATCGAAGACCTGCTGGATCTGATCTCCCGGGACAGGCCTAAATATTTTATGTCCAACGTTTCCAGGGTTTTTCTCGTTGCTCGCTTTAATACAGGGTCAGAGAGCCATGCAACAAAGTGAAAAGGTTTTCTCTTCTCTTTTTGGGTGGGAAGAAACCCGAGGTTTGATGTGCCCCATATTCCAGGGGATGAATTATAGACGGGGGTCAAGTGAGGGTCCTGGCTCTCTGTGGATGTCACATGCCCTCCCTCCCTTGCCTCCCTGCATACTAAACTGCAGCTCCCAGCACCCTTTGCAAATGACCCGCCCCACCACGCGTTCCGCAAATGACCCTGAAAATCCACATAAGTGGCCGACCCCGACATTCCAACAGTTCTCAGTAGTTCTTCTTTTCGTGTTCTGCAGATCATATAAAGTTAAAATTACATTTTAATATTTTTCCAAAATGGATAACCTTCGTAACTTTTTGTAAAGTAGAAATAGTTTGTCCTCTATTCCAATTTTTGGTTATAAATTCGGCGAAACATAACTATTTAGCGTGAGCGCTGTGTCCCTTTTGGTTTTTAAGTTCTGAAGAGTCTCTTGACATGAGTTTTTTTTTTTTTTTTTTTGGTAAAGTAAGACGCTTAAACCCCCCCCCACGTTAATTTTTATTTTTTTCACCCCAAATAACAGATACATGGTAAACTGATAATAAATTGCAGTTTTGAACTCTTTCCTCTCACTATTATCTCAATAAACTTGTACCTTTGCTTCAAACACCACTTTGAACATCAAGTGCACTTTTTTAAAGTTAAAATAAGTGTATTAAATATCTAAACATTTCTTACACTTATTGTAATGGTCTGTTCTTGGTATGAAGATGTCTGGGTGTGGGTCTACAGGTGTGATTGATGCACTCCTCCATAAAATGTTTGAATTATTCAGCAGGAGGTTAGGTGCATAAACAGCATTAATCAATATGTGTATGAGCAGTTATATTCAAGCAAACATTATGAGAGGCTGCATCCCAGCCATAGATTAGTTTCCCTGTACGCGTGCGGAAGAAGGTGAGCTAAAATAGACAACGGTGATTTCTTGTAAGTCTGCAGGTGAGATGAATATCTCTGTGAGGGCTTTTATCTATGCGCTGTGTGACTAAAATCACAAATGAGTTCAAAATTTCACAGATTTAAAAGAAATTGTTTTTGAGCCACTCGAGTTTCTTGACAGCCTTTTGATAAAGTTGCTGACTAACAACACTGAAGACATACACATGAGCGTTCCTCAAATTTTATTACAGGGATCGCATTTACCATGGCTTAATTTGTGCAATAATCTTAATTAGTTGTACAGAAGCAAGAGAACAGACTTTTACATCAATCTTTCTCTTAAAGACTCATGTTGCACTGAGTCTCTAGGCAGGTGTAAGGTTAAAAATGATACAAAACACATATGCACACACCGCCTGCAACAATTTATCTGAAAACAAATTGCCACTGCTTTGTTTTTATCCTCATCAGGGTAACTAAGGAATTACAAATTACACATTTACATGAGCAAAACTCAGACACAAACACACGTGTGTATTTACCAGTATTATTTTTTTTCCCCTCTGTATTTACGTCTCAGAGAATTTGAATCTTCAAATACCGCCCGTTTGAATTTATGGGTGTGTTTATGCTTATGGGGAGATTGCACCCCAGTAGGCAGCTGCCTGGGGAGCGCAAGACTCTGATTACGATTCGGGACAGAAAACTGTAAATAATGGAGCTCATCTCTGTTGGAGTTGCAGGGCTGTTCGAATGCAGTTTCTCTCAATACGTAATCTGCAGGGATACCACATATCCCTGTAGATTTCTAAACAGGCCTTTTACGACGTTCTGTTGATGTACTGCTTTTAAGATTGGTGCCTCCGCCACAAGTCGACACTTATCATGGTGTCACCGCATTAAAGGCACATTATCCTGTCAGCCTTGAAACTGGCCTCTATTAAGTAGTGACCTTTGAATTTTATTTTATTTTTTTTTGTTACGTCCTGATTTTACCGTCTTTGTCAGTAGCTGAGAGTGGAGCTTCTGTTCATATTATTCTGGTGCTTGATTTGTCATGATGATTACTAACATTTAAGTGTCTAAGTGAACGACTGCTGAAGTAATTAGGTTGGCAATTAAGATCTGTGTGGTCTGAGGTTTAGTTGTATTGTTTTTGTTTTTCCATATTTTACCAGATTGAATAGGATCAGTAGCAAAGAGGAGAGAAAGACTAAAGTTAATTGCTCCCAGTGCTCTGCGTTTCTTTCTGCTTTAGCACGCACACATGTTAACATGCGAGCACACTTAAGCCCACAAAACACAAGCGGCACCAAGGCAGATTTCTTGCTCTGGGAGAAATGGTGCGATAGGGGAGGAAGAGGTGGCCTAGAGCAGCTAATCAGTCCAGATGTACTGCTTTTTTCAGAGCGAAAAAGGAAGAAAGCCCGCAGCTCAATCAATACATGAGGAATCAGCCTCATCAGGGTTGCTGGCTCAATCAGCAGCTGTACCCATCGTTTTACCACACACACTGCCCGGGGAGGTGTAAAAGAAGAAAGGGTGGTAGAGGAACTAGGGGTGCTAAAGGAGACGCGTCAGCAGTCTTGGGAGGGAAGGTTGACAATGGAGGCTGGTTTACAGGTCAGTCTGTGGTCACAGGTTAGTTCGAGGTCACGTTTCACAAGAAATTATAGAGCAAATTTGTGGAGTTGCTCTGGAAGTCACATGACCTTTTCATTTGACATAAAGGGTTTTTTAAAAGCGAAAGCTTGACAGTGGGGGAAAAAAGTTTTAATTAGGGCCGGACAATAATTCGATATCGATATATGTCGCAATATACTTTTATTCAATAACAGTGATATGAGTTTTAAGCACATTTTTGATACTTCAATATGATTACAGCGTTTCACTGACGCGTTTCTTTTTCTGTTCGGGTTGAAGCGGCCGCTTCAGCTTCAACCCAAACAGAAAAAGCTGCAACACAACTACGTAAGTGCGTGGTGACGTAGATGTTACACAGAGCTCGAGTCCAGAAGGCGTTAGCGGTAGCAGGCTAGGCTAATCTCCAACGCGCATTGTTTTTGCTTCAAAATGAGTGCCCATGACCGTCAGAATGTGACTGAACAAGCTTTCACAAGCGAAGAGAAAGCAGGTGACATCACTGATAAGAGAGGAAAGACTAATTTGGCGTTGTGGAACTGGTTCGGCTTTCTAAGATCCGATGAACTGCAGGTTTCAGTCAGTGTGCTGCAAAATGTGACGGAGAGTCGTTCCAACTAGCGGTGGGAACATCTAGCATGGTCCACTCGATAGAATATGCTGAAAGTCAGAAGATGAAGCACAATGAAGTTTGAGCCAACGTGTCCCTGAAACAACACCAGCTGTATCAAAAGAGAAACCCATGCAGCAAACGCAGAAGTTTGCTGCATGGGTTGTTAGGTCATGTTGTTGTTTGAAGTTAAAACTATTAATGTTGATAAAGTTGAGAGTTTTATGTTTATTTGACGGTGGTTTCAAATTTCTTTTGAAGGCTAAATACAAATAAGTGAACGTTAATTTATTTGTACAGTTTGTACAGTTTTCTGAGGCTTTTGTATAGTTTATATCGAATTATATCGTTATCAAACAAAATTAAGAAATATATCATGATAAAAGTTTTGGCTGTATCATCCAGCCCTTTTTAGGAAGTAAAATCCATTTCAATGCCTAAATCAGAAGTTAGAAAGCACAGAGCGGTGAGATCGACCAAGTTCAGACTCGTGGTTGTTGAAGAAAGCAGCAAAGAAAAACAGCGCTGAAGCCTTTCTGATGTCACCAGGCTGTTGTTTGTGTGGTTCACTTTGGAGACGGCGGCTGTCCGAGTGTCCCTTGGTGAGTTGAAGAGTTTACCGAGGCAAATGGCGCTGTTGGCTGACAGATCAGGACCAGCAGCTGAATCCAGGACAACACTCACATCGACACGCCTTATGTAGACATGGGTCCATTTAAAAAAGTTTTAATGTTAATATAATAATTGATAGTTTGAGCAGAATGGATAGACGAGGCTAGCTTTTCACATCTTTTTATTGCTCTCTTGTATTTCATTGTCTGTCTTTCTTCTTCTTGAATCTGATTGCTTAGCCTAAGAAGACAAAGGAGGGGACAGATAAAGGAGGGCTCTGGTGGTAGTTTGGGAGGGGGGCTGATAATCTGCAAACAGATTTCCATGCTTATTACACTAATGATTTCATGATTTGCTGTGTGTGTTGGGTGTTTGGAAGATGTGGAAACATAAAAGAGGGTGGGGGGTGAGGGGTTGCTGCTTTCTTTCTCTCTCATCTTGGCGGTGCAGCTAAATGATGGAGTAATTTGAGTGACCTCTGGCCTACACATAATTGCATGTCATTCTAGCCTAGAATGGGGGGGGGGGGTTGGGTGGAGTTCACAAAATACAAAATATTACTGTTTGTCGCAGGTTTTGCACAGACCAATTGTTTTTTTCTACCAATGTCTTGCTCTCTTACAGTCACCCGAGTGTTCCCCACAAAAAATAAGCACCACCAAACAAAAGAAAGATGGCATTAATTTTCAAATGATGATATTACATTAGGCACCAAGATCTCATACATCAGAACGT